GCCAAAATATACCGGGCGGCGCAAAAAAAGTTAACCCTGTTTGATTGAGTATAACTACAAAATTAAAAGAGCTATTACACAAAAATTATGTTTTTCATGATTTGATGTATAGCATGAGGTTTTTCATGCAATTTTGACCCAGACATCAGCGTTAAAAACAAAAATTAGCTATTTTGGTTTAAACTTTGTTCCGATGGGGGATAAAATTCGCTCGGTAGCTCACAAATTTAACAAACAATTTCGCATGAATTATGCTTGTTCTTTTCTTAATATGCCCAATGAAAAACGTTGAAAACGAACATTATCTTTTCTTATTTAACTAATTTTTTGCTAATTTTGATGTCGCTAGCGCTACCCCCTGCAGAGTGAGATAACGTGTTATCTCATGGGAAATAGCAACTTTAATCACGTGCGGCGCACCTAGAAATTATCTCTTTTATGAATAGATATTTCGTTGTTTACACTGGGCGAAAAGCCGCATATTCCGCCCTCTATACCACGCAATATGATCGGGAATATTATTGATATTCGTAGATATTCTGGGGTATTCCTTCGGAATATTTCCGGAATACTGGTAGTATTGCGCGCAGAATACGTCGGAATAAAATACACCTGATATTCCGTGGCAGAATATCGTCGGGATAGCAGTTATTGAGTTATGCGTATATTTTGCTAAATACAGCCTTGCACGTCATGTAAGTTACAATGTGATTCACTTGAATTAGTACAAAATTTTTGTACATTCATTTTATTAGACTTTCATTTCATTATATAAATGACCAATAGACCTGATAATCGTATAGAGCAAGATTATCTTTGGGTGCATAAAGTGTACAAGATTTCTCTGATATTCAGATAGATATTGTCATGAATTTTCATTGACAACTGGATAGAGGCGCTCTTGCAAAAAATGTTACCAAGTACCAAACTCGAAATGTTACAAAGGGTAAGTAAAGTAGCATATAACATGAAGAATTGTAAATGTTGAATGGAAGTTCTGCCGCCGAGCCTTCTGCAACCTCCGATGTATTGTGCGTTCTACGCAAAGAGGCATATAAGACCTAGTAGATAAATTTAGCGATTAAAGCTCGCCGAGTCCGGCCGATTTCAAATATCGTTGATTAGTAAAAGTCTGTCCCTAATTACGAAATTATGTTTGGAAGTAATATTTCTCTTTGCGAATTCAAATTTTCATAACGAAATTTCCGAAGGGGGTAATAATGGGTGAAATAGGTATCCTACTTTCAAAGGTCTTTATCTCCATTTTGATCGTTACTGCATTGTCCATCATCCGCAGTTTATGAATCAACTATATATAAGCTGGTGGGAAACGATTCATGATCATGCACACAGGCGGGCAGAAAAATTATTCCGAATTAACCAAGTTTAAAGAAATTGATTATACGAATTTAAAGTCCAAGCAGTATAAAAATGCTTGGCAGACTGATAGATATTCCCTACCCAGATGAAACATAATGAGTATAGAAAGATATAAATATAATAAATATAATAATGAGGAAATATATTATGCTCAAACACATAATTTTTATTTCTGCTACCTTCATTTATAGATTTATGGTGAAAAGATACATGTGTGCTACATTTCGTTGGGGGCTTCTTTTTTTACCACCCTCTGTATATTATACACTTAATGTATGCTCCCGAGGGAATAGTGAGTTTTGTTTTCCCAAGAGTCTGAATGTTTAAAGAATTAAGACTCGAGGGAAAACAAAACTCATACTATTTCCCGAGGTGTAGCGTACATTAAGTGTTTTGCCATAGGAAAAAACATTCATGTTACACGACAATTCATTTCACAAAACTTTGTTATGACAATATACGGGCATCAATTTTTCACTTGTTTCCCTGCATCACGGGAAACATTGCATTTATATAAAGTCATGTGATTGCGAATGAACCAATCACATTTATAATATACAGCACCTATACACAATATACACTTAATGTATGCTCCAGAGGGAAATAGTGAGTTTTGCATAACGACAATTTCTTTTCAAAAAACGTTGCTATGACAATATGCACGCAAAAATTTTTCACTTGTTTCCCAGGCGGGAAACATTGCATTTTTTGAAAGTCATGTGACTATGAATGAATCAATCACATTTAAAGTAAACAGCACCTACCACATTTAAAGCAAGGTTTAGACTTGCAATCCACTACCATACCACAATAAATAAAGGAAACCATGCATTCAAATACGATAGTTCTATCACACTAACTATGCAATCACGAAATGAATCGATTACTGATACCTATACTGTAGTTGTAGTGGAAATCATATCTTAGGCTATAATGATGAACATGCACTTAACTCAAAAATTACTTACTAGTAAACCAAAAATAGTATACAAAAAATCCCGAAATATTATTCTGTTGCAACCTCAATTCATGCATGTAAACACATCATTTTCTAAAGTAATTTTTTGCCATTTAATTTGCAGATATACAGATTATTCAGTAAAAGAGCTAAGTACGTCTTTTGCAGAGTACGAAATGGATCGTCGCACACCTCCGCGCGTTCTTACACCCCTCCCTCCTCGCGTCCGTAACGCAGTTCCCCCACGAGATGCACTGGCTGACTTATTAAATTCTGTCCGCAGAGATTGCTTCACAGCCCATGTAGGAGCATCTTTAGGCGCTCTCTTAAAAGATAACCCAGAACTGGTTCTCTTTGTCCGTTCTTTCATAAATTCTTTCTTCGTATCCTTAATTCGACTGTCCAAAGTCCTAAGGAACTGCGTCACATTGTTCGCTCTCCAAGGCAATTCCAAGTGGCGCCAACATTATCTTTTCTTATTTAACTAATTTTTTGCTAATTTTGATGTCGCTAGCGCTACCCCCTGCAGAGTGAGATAACGTGTTATCTCATGGGAAATAGCAACTTTAATCACGTGCGGCGCACCTAGAAATTATCTCTTTTATGAATAGATATTTCGTTGTACCTTGTAGTTAGCTTTTTTTGGACAAGAGGTATATAATAAAAAAATTATTTACTGAGAACTCAGAAAACATTATGTTTTGTGCACTGTTTAGGTGAAAGCACGATTAAGTACACCAATCATGGGTAAATAGTCATTTACATAGTTTGCGCAAATATATAGTGATATCGTCGTAAATTGTCTATGTATTATTAAGGGGGTATTGTTATGTAATGTTAATAGTGTAGTATGATATAGCATAGGAAATGGAGAGTTTGAGGTAGCACGTAGCAGCGACCGCGAAACCAATGTCCCATATAATAACGTAAGCGGATGCGAATGTAGTGGAGAGAAAACCACAGAAAAATATCCGGAGATGCTCTGTAGAGATGCGTCGGGGAAATGCATCATTGTTTGGAAAAGCATCCTCTTTTGTTATTATAAATATAGGTTAAAATCATTGGTGTAAATTAGTTGTGTATTAGAGCGTGAATTGTTTTAAAGTGTTGATTCCTGAATAAATGTAGAATTATATACAGTCCCAGTGTGCGAGGTTTGGACAAGCCAAGCTGAAAATCAGACTTGTTTGGAGATTTTCAACATCAATTCTGGTCCTTCGAGCCGGATAGACAGTCGTGAAATAAGCAATAGAACGTCAGGAAAATGTCAGAGGTCACAACGAAAAAGAAGATGAGAGCTGGCCACAGGGGGTACGCACGAAAATTGGTAAGTGCCGCTTGTGAATTGGTAGAAGTTTACGACGGACAACGCAAAACGGCCGTACGCATTGTACGATATCGTGGAAACGCACTACCGTGGATTGTCGGTCTTGGGAATGGACGAGAATACGTACTCGGAAATAGTCCTACCCATCTTGCTTGAGAACATTGCTGACACGGTGCGACTAACAATCACGAGAGGGAAGGAGTATTTAAACTGGACAGTGAGCGATATGTCAAAGGCGCTACTGGCTGAGGTCAAACTGCGAGAGGAATATCGGTTGACACCTACTGCGAAACCGTTTGACACTGGAGGGAGAAGAGATCAGTTCAGCGCCAACGGACTACATATCAACCGGGACGATAGATGTGCCTTCTGTATGGGAAAACACAGCTATGAAGACTGCAAAAGAGTGATGGATCTGAAGCAACGGAAAACGATAATACGTAAGCTTGGACGATATTTCAAATGCTTAGAAAAAGGTTATTGTGTCCATTGTGCAAAGATCCGGAAGTGATTGCGGATTACGACGCGATAATCAAGGAGAAGTTGAAATCAGGCATAATTGAAGTAGTCCCTGCATGTGCTAGAAGAGCTAAGCGATAAATTGCATTATTTGCCCCGCCAAGCAGTTATTAGGATGCCTCTATCGATACGATGCCTCTTCCAAGGAAGGCAAAAAGGAACTTAGAGGAAGATAAGATCTATTTCGATTTCGAACACATTGCGCGTAAAAAAGAAAATTCATTGCCAACCAAGAGGAGTCTGTTAAGTTTGCTAGTAGTCTGTTCGATCCTTTGGGGTTGATCAGTGGAGTTATTGTAACTATGAAAATCCTTTTCCAAGATGTTCCTAAGACAAAATTAGGTCGGGATGAAGAGTTCGGCGATGACATGGCGAAACGCCTAGATAAGTGGGTTAATGACTTAGTAGCAAAATGTGAGTTATACGTTGATAGATGTTTATACGAATCGAGCGTAGAAAATGTTGCATCGTATTACTTACATGGATTTGCAGATTTGCCGTACCAAGGGGGCGAAGTTTCCGTAAAAATTGTAGCGAGTAAAACCAGAGTAGCGCCGGTAGACGAATTGTCGATTCCAAGCCTGGAATTAATGTCCGTTAAGGTACTAGCAGAGCTTGAAAACGCGATCTGCAGCGCGCTAAGTTCGCAAGTGAAGCTAGATGGCGTTAGGTACTGGCTTGATACCAAAACATGGATACGAAATCAGGGCCAATGGAAACAATTTGTGCGTCATAGGATAAATGACATTTTTAAATTGACGAATAAAAACGAGTGGGCGCATGTTTTTTTACTAATGAAAACCCAGCAGATATAGGCAGTAGAGGGGTTCTCGCCTCACAGCATAAATCAAACCAGCTGTGGTGGCACAGGCTGACTTGGCTGTTCAAAAATCCAGAGGATTGGCCGCCTTATTTTAAAATTAGTGAAAGCCCGGAAAGCTCGGTTGAGGGAAAGAAAAATGCGACGACAACGGTTTTATTAGCGGTTAATTGCGATAGCAGTCTAGGAGCTGTTTTTGATATACGACGCTACAGTAAGGTAGGCTAGCTTGCCACACCCAACAGTGCCACACCCACCATTGGGATGGGTTTGGCAAGCCAGGTAAGCTAGGGGCTATCACAGCATGAGTAAGGCAAGCGATTGACAATCTTAAAAGAGTCTCATCGAAAAGCGAATGTGAAACGTCCCAATTGACTGCGAAAGAATTGAAAAGAGCTGAGGTCGAGTGGATAAAAACAGTAAGTACGATGCGTATTGCGTGGACAAGGGAATTATGATCAGTTAGTTCAAAGGTAGGGGATAATAGAAGAAAATGGAATTTCGAGGTGTACCGGTAGGCTCAGAAATTCGGATTTAGAGCAAGATGGTAAAAGACCAATCTTGTTGCCGAAACAACACAGGTTTACACAGTTAGTTGTAGAAGCATGTCACCAAAGAGTACACTGTACACCGTAGCGGATCCACATTAGCGGAATTGCGTTCACCATTTTGGGTGCCAAAAGCTAGAAATTAGAGAATGTGTAAATGATTCTGACCGGGTGGGTTACGTGCAAGACATTAATAGGCAAGCCTTATCAACAACCAGTAACTGCAGCCCTCCCGGGTTTCGAGTAACCAAGGCGCCACCATTTTCGCGGGTGGGAGTAGATTTCGCGATTTCCACTTTATGCTAAACAAACAAACGGAGAAATGAAGAAAGTGTATATTACGCTATTTACATGCTGCATTTACATGCTTTGCATTTAGAATTAGTAGACGAAATGTCAACAGAGGCTTTCCAGCGTTGCTTGCGAAGGTCTACAGGTCCACACTAATAATCTCAAACAATGCAAAAACATTCAAAACAACTGAAAAGGACTGAAGTAAGTTAATTAATCATCCGGAAATAAAGTCATTCATGAAGAATGCAAGAATAGAATCAAAGTTTAATTAAGAAAATCCCCTTGGCAGGGTGGGTTCTTTGAGAGGTTAGTAAGGAGTGTAAAAGAGTGTTTAAGGAAAACGTTAGATACAGCTAGAATAACGAAACAAGAATTAGCAACAGTGATAGTTGAAGTCGAATGCATGCTCAACTCTAGGCCCTTGACATACGAGTACGACAAGATAGGCCAGGAAGTGTTAATTTGATATTCAGTAGAAGGATAAACTCATTGCCTGATGTAGTAGAAAAGCCAGAGAAAGCTTTAGGAGAGAGAGAATATACGACCAGGTTTAGGTATCTTACAAATAGCTAGGTTAGAGCATTTTTAGAACAGGTGGAGAAAAGAATATTTGATTAGAGTTTCATTGGACAAAAGACAGGGAGTCAGCGACTGCGCCACAGATTGGCGAACTAGTTATAGTGGAGGACGGAAATAGAAATTCGTTATGATTTAGTCAGAAGGAGAGATGACGTGATTAGAGGAGGGTAGGTTAAATTGGCTTCGAAGGGACGACCGACATACCTATCCAGGCCAGTTTGAAAATTGTACCCGCTAGAGATAAAACTCCAATGGAAGGGGGTAGGGTAGGTACTGCGCGCAAAAAATGTGCTGGCGGAGAAAAAAACAAATCAAAAAGAAGCAACCCTCAGAGGAAGGCAGCGTTAGATGTGAAATGTAAATTTAAATTGATCCTAAGCGGGGGAGTGTGTTGCAGAATTTAGGTGAACGCACGATTGAGTACACCAATCATCAGTAAATTGTCATTTACAAAGTATGCACAAATATATAGTGTTATGCATGTCGTAACTGATTGTATATGTATTATTAAGCGAATTGTTATGTAATGTTAATAGTGTTGCATCATAGCATAGGTTTTGAGGTAGCACGTAGTAGCAACCGCGAAACCAATGTCCCACAAATAACGTAAGCGGACGCAAATGTGGGTTGTAGTGGAGAGAAAACCACAGAAAAACATCCTGTAGTTCTGTAAGAGATGCGTTGGGGAAATGCATCATTGTTTGGTAAAGCATGCATCCTGTTTTGTTATCATAAATATAGGTTAAAATTAAAATCATTGGTGTAAGTTAGTTGTGTATTAGAGCGTAAATTGTTGTAAAGTGTTGATTCCAGAATAAATGTAAAATTATATACATTCTCAGTGTGTGAGATTTGGACTAGCGAAGCGGAAAATCAGACTTGTTTAGAGATTTTCAACATGAACCCTCGACCATCGATATTCAGTGACTCGACTTCGCCTCGTCAATATCGACAGATCTCGGGTCCCCAAAACACAATGTTTCCTTCGGTCGCAGTAAATAAGTGTTAAATATCAGTTCGCAATGATTATATATTCGTTGCTTCATTTTTGTTGTTGTAAGGGAAATGCCACGTTGTATATATATGATCAGACTAATGATATATGCACCTAAATCTAGTCCTTGACGTTTTCAAAAAGCGCAGTCTGTACAAAAAATCGTGTGTAACTTCGGGGATTATCGTTTTAATGTTAATATGAGCTGTTGTTATACGGTGCTCGCTTTGACCGGGCTGCCTATGATTATACTAGCTGAATAGCAACTAACAAGAAATGATCGCGATTTTCGGCCTACGTATTTGCTTCATAACGTGTCTTATCAACATAAGATAAGTCGCTATAACAGCTCAATTATTATATATGTCAATATGTCAATAATATGTAGTGCAACAAGCCACGGTATATTTATCCATGGTTTTTGTCCTTGGCTTTTTTAATCGTCGCCTCTTGAGTCTTGAGAGCCATTTGGGTCACTACATGAACCATTGGCGACATGCCTCACTTAACATTTTGTGGCAGTCATATTTTAACTGAAAGAAGGACCGCTTAGATACTCATAAAACTTCTTTGCCTAACTTCGTCGAAGCCAACTTTCTAGTGGGGTTGCTGGTTAAGGATAAAATTTAAAAATTGAAGAAACAACCAGCACTACATTGAACTTCGAAAGTCAAAATACAACAATAACTCATACCTTAATGCACATCCGTGATTAAACCAGTTAATAGATGTCTTTAACTCCTCTCACTTTTGCAATGTCGGATTCGATCAAACGGTAACTTTGTGACAAAAAGACTTTATATATCTTATAGAGTATATATATCTTTATTGCCTCGGTTTAATTCTTTCCCGCAGGATATTGCTATATGTATTTAGGGCAGAAAAGAGTGCGATAATTGCGGGGAACATTATTCATATATTCTAGTCTGCTGGACGAATTTAGTTTGAAAAGGCATATTCGCACAAAAGAAATTCATGGAGCAAAACGAATATATGAATATGCACCTCCCCCAAATTACCGTATTTTGTTTTCGCCCTGCGTATATTATTGTTTAAAATGCACACCTCGCTATACAAGCTCTACATATACAGGGTGTCTTAAAAAAAACGCAACCACTTAAATATGCAGAACATTGATACAGCTCTAAAGCGCAATAGATACGCACCTCTGGGAATTGAAAATGGCTCTTAATCCTTCATTTAAAATGCTAAAAGTCATTTTAGCTGAACTATCGTGCAAACCTGAACAATATTAATATTCTTGCATTTTTGCGTTTTTTTTGAGACACCCTGTATATTTTTGTAATATAAAATTTATAGTATACGTGCGTGCTGATTGGTCAAGAAGCTTGTTTCTTTAATTGTGTAGAAACATGGGAATTTTCCCGCCGAACTTGACAAGCGAAGCGATGTATTGATGTAATGAGAATTTGTAATTGAATCGAATTATAATATTTGTTCAAAATTTTTTTATTGAGTCATATTATAAAAGAAATACTGCTGATGCTTGTTCTTTGACTTCTCAACACAACTGATATATTCCAATATAACCAGGAAGCAGCGTGGCATCGTCTTCAATTCAAACCACTTAGCATCAAATGTGGTATATATAACAACCGCCTAAAATAGACAAAATACGTCTCGACGTTTCTTCCTGAGGGCCTTTGTCAGGAGAGTTGGTATGATATAAAGTATTCGTCTCTTGTCAGTATATTCTGTTAATACTTGAGTAAAGATAATGTATGCATTCCCCTATATTGGTAGTCTTAAAGCTACACGAACGTTTGTCTGATGTGTGACTGCATGTGTGGTATTTTTAATCGAATGTTGATTTATTCCCATGTTCAATACATTTTCGGCCCATAATCTTATTCTTTTGACGGCAAAAGTGGATACAGTATTAACTTAAGCATCGCACTACCTCAATTAAGTGTATTTATTTATGTAAATATCAATATGTATGTAAATATTAAAACGACCTCTAATATTATGTACGACAATTAATGTCTTTTTCGCTTTTTTCAAATAAGTATTTTTTTACGTATTTTTTAATTCATATAGTTACGTTGATTTTGTATAACAGGAAATTTATTCGTTGAATGATTTGAATGTCCAAACTGATACGCCTGCCGGATAAACATTAAGACCACTTTGTGTAATCTTAAATGCACGGAATGTGTGCATGAACTTGAATGTATTCATATTTGATACAGTCTTGAATGCATGGAATGTGTAAATGTCAATTTGTTATTCATATTCGATCTTTAGCAAAGCAATGATCTTTTTTATACACCCTGTACACCACATATTTGCATATCACATATTTTGCTTATTTTCCTGCAATTACAGATTCACCTGGCAAAGTCTAATTTTTCTCATTTTTTAAATATAGATGAATAACATAAATTTCTTATACTAATATGCAAGCTATAATTCTAGGACCATTTTCTAACTTTGCCGCTGCTGCTAGATAATTCAATTCTATTATTTCGATTGGTACCGGCCCGAAGAAGGTCCGAAGATTCCAAAGTGAAATAATAATACACGTTAGGGACATAATAGGGTTCACGAATATCAGTAAACTGCGTATATGTTGAAAAACGTTTTTTAATAGCCATCCAACTTGCTATCTTGAACAGTAGAACTCAATGTCTTGATATGTCATCTGCTCAAAAGTTAACTGTGAGAAGTTTGTTTTGCCATCTAGAAAAAATGAAATATGACTGCATGTTGGCGAAATATAGTCATATAGACCTACATTTATTAGATGAAATACCAAACTTTGAATTTTTACTTGGCAGTTCTAGACGTTTCGTGTGAAAATCGCACTCCTCGAAGTTGTATTTCCCGTTTTTTCTCGTTTTAACTCGTATTATCGCAGTAATTTTTAATCCAAAAGGAGTAATGTCGGATGGATAAATAAAATTTGTCAAAAAAACGAAGAGGAAAAGACCCTTGGCTTTAAAATTGCATTTTTTCTGCTAAAAGATCGAATTTTCCTTTTTAAAAAGTGCAAAAACACTTGCCAGAGCCTAGCGCATGCGCATTAAAAACAGGGGGACAAGATTTGGCGCGAGTTCCATCTCCGTCATGTAGTGCTCTGTGATAACAGCGTTGAATAATTTCGAGATACTTCATGCTATTTCTCTGTTTAACAAGTAACAACCCCATGCAAGCTCCACGCAAGTTAACTACATGATTAGTTAATCATCCGACAAACTATGTTTTGTGCAACGCAGTTAAGTCGTGTAGTTAACTTATCATAGTTAAGGATTTAACTACTGTGATTAGCGCTAATCATAGTTAAAGTTAACTACGTTTTTATACAACCGGCCCCTGGGCTTTGTGCAACGCAAATAAACCGGGGTTTAAAATTTAACCCTGGATTAAGCACTTTTAACCCTGGGTTAGCGTTAAACGGCTTTTGAACAGCTGGCCCTAAAGCTATAAATAACCCAGATGACCCTAAATGTCCTGATCAATTTCAGTTCATAACATCGCTATATATCAAGTACCCTATGGTAGTAAATATATCCGCGTTACGAAGTTACTGTGGGCGCTCTCAAAGAACGCCCGTGATGCAGACCCACTCACTCAAGATAGGATCACACGAGAGCAATATACAAGGTAATATTAATGTTTGAAACAATTGCATGCAGTGTTAATGCTTGTTCTTTGAGATCTCAACACAACTGATATCATTATAGGGTATCCGTGTCGAACCTGTATATTCTGTCAATACTTAAGGTAAAGATAAATTTGTGTATGTATATTCTCTTATATGTGTGATTGCATGTGTGATGTGTGGTATCAGGCAGTAAAAGTAAGCAACTGATTTATTTTTACTCGAACGTTGAATTGTTCTCATGTTCAATACATTTTCGGCCCATAATCTTATTCCTTTAAAGGCAAAAGTGGATACAGTATTAACTTAAACTTTGCACTACCTCAAGTGTATTTATGTATGTAAATATTCAATTGCATATCCGACACGGCTAGTGAAGTTTTATATAACCATATACGAATATCAAATGTTCTTCTGGCAGTAGATGTCTAGATCTTAGAGAATTTCACCTAGCACATTTTTAAATATTGGGAATGTAAGTGTTTTAGGCGATATTTTATTTTATATCTGCCATAATTTCCATGGACTATATACAACCGTAATTTGAGCCATGGAATGCGCTGAGCTTGTACTTTTTTTGATACCGCATTTAAAACGACCTGTATAATATTGTGTATTACAATCTACTGCCTTTTTTGCTTATTTTTAAAGTATTTTTTTTTCATAGTTATATTGATTTTGTATAACGGGAAATTTCTTGGTTGACTGACTTAATCGAATGTCCAAACTAATATGCTTGCCGAATAAATTTTATTATAAGAGTCTTAATACGTGGAATGTGCCAAATTTAAAGTCGAAGTCAGAGTATCAAAGAAACGCAAACGTAAATACGGATCAATATTCGATCTTTAGCAAAGCAATTATAATGAGCAATAATAATTTTTATACACCCTGTACACAATACTGTATAAAAAATCACTATCCAGTGGATAGTGCTATCCGGCTTTCATACAACCGGCCCTTAGGTATGCTATATGAATTTAGTAGGTAGGCCTAAATATAATAGACTTGTGGTATATGGAGCCTAAAACACTAATCTATCGTTCGTAATATGATTGTCAAGATTGTCAAGATGGTGCAATGACACAATAAATCCGACTGAAATATTTCTTTGAGTCAGAATTTAGCTAATTTATGTATGAAATATGCAAGATTTCTTTTTTACAATATTTAATGTATTTACAATCCAAGTTCCGTTGATAAACTGACACAAGTTAGCCTTAGTTAGGAATGAACAATAACGTATTTCACATGATATTTTTGGTAAAAAGTTATCTTATACCCGTTGTATAGGAAACCTCTGTAGAGCCGCAGTTCATATTCATGTTAAATAACAAGTACCGTTTAATGTAACCTATATGCCTTCGCAAAACACAAAAGTATCGATAAGTATACTTGTGTACTTATGTTGTTTGGTTTACACTTTATAGATTGACATTTCGTGGCATTAAACTTTAAAAAAATGGAAATTCAAGCAGTGCTTACGGTGAGTACTTACGTGTACTGTATTCAAATTTAATACACGCTATTATTTATAGTATATTCACGGGGCTATTACAGAAAATTTGAAACCGCATCACACGTATATATATATACGTATATTCCACTCGAAATTAAGACCCTTTAAACCTCTAGAATTTACCTGCCTCGAGTGAAGTGCCAAAAATCATAATTGATTTACACGAATATAATATAAAAGTTAGAGCTATATTACAAAGTAAGACGGCGTGCTAAATCAGAACTCAATTCTGGTATCTCGTACTGCATGGTATTGTGTGATTAACTGAACGCTATAGCTGTGTGCCATCGCCACAATTTTTTGCCGGCTGGTAAATAAAGTTGTTTTGTTCTCATCATTTCCTGATGATATAGAAGCTCCCTAAATGATCACGACTGTGTGGATCAGAACGAAATATAAGCGAGATGACCTAGTAACATGACATACAATTATATAAACAGAAAACATTCGTCATTATTGGCATTATTTGGAGTGTATCAATAACATCTAGATAAGTAACGTTTAGGGCCAATTGAAAGCTTTTTCGCTTTTTAGACATCCTGACCCTGCAGAAAGCTTTGGCAAATTGATTGCGTTTACAGTCAATGTTTACATCAATATGTAAATATTAACACACAATATAGCGAAACAATGTTCTCATGCATGCTGCCTCCGCTGACTTGAAATATGTTCAAAACAAATATTATAGTATAGAGGTTCTTTGTATATTAGATAGAATAACAATCTTGGATAAGGAAACTTCTTAGTAATAATTTCCTCGGTCAGATTCAAAGTGATAAGTAGATAAAATTGGCACTTACACTGTACTTATAGACATTATTCGTCTTGTCAGATTTTTATACGCGGCTGAACACGACAAATCCACTCAAATAACTATTCATTGAGCGATTCATATAGTAATATGATTAAGCGGATTCTAATTCAAAATGATTTCAACTACAGGTATAAATATAGGTACGCAATGCGTATATGTGGGTAGCCTCTAAAATAATGGCTGCGATAACGCTATGGCTAAAATTTTCAAGTTGTATTCAATGTCAAACGACAGGCTGCTATATATAGTGGGGAGTAAATATTAAATGATGCTTATAGTTTTACTTTCTAATCTTTTCCATACGAAAGGTCAAAAAGGCCCCGGTTAGCTAATTGAATACAGTTATCAGGCGAGGATCCAGCTGAAAATCTGACCGTGTCATATAGGACTAAAATTTTCCGGGGGGGGGGGGGGTTGGGGCGAATAGTGAAGGGGCTATGGACCCTCCGAAACAATCCCTGTACTTTCATAAAACCACAAAACCATTTTCAAAATTTTGGGTAAGGTATATTTGCCGATATTTCATTAACATAACGTGATTTTGCATGCACAAATTATTCACAGACTACAGCGTAAATGCAAATTTGTATTATAGGGCGCTTCCATTAAGCGGCCAAAAAGGTCAGACTGGTCATATTTTAAATTGAAATAGAGTATTTTGCTAAAAATATAGCGGTGAAACTGCATTTCCCGTGCTAGGCAGATGTAAATAACTCGATATACTTGAATGCAGAGTTCTTGAAACACTTTAAATACCAGTAATCTGTCTGTACCGAAATACAACTGAACCGGTGTGGCCGTTTTCCCTTATAAAGAAGAGCGCCTATTGTTCGATTTAAAACCTAAAAATCTTACCTTACAAGGACATTAAGTAAAGATTTTCAGTATTAGTCTCTTGGGAAATAGCAGTTTAAAAATTGTCGTTGCGATTGTACGCGAGCGAGCGAAGCCTTTCTTTAGTAATAGTTCCATCATGTTGTAGCCTGAAGAGCGATATTTCCCCTGAAATATGTTCGCTTAGATTTGCTTTTGAGAAATTTTGACGGATTTATGTATTAATGCATTCGATTCAGCCTGAATCAGCCAGGATGCAGCGAACAGACCAATTTAACGTGTTATGTATAAACTATATCCGAGTTCGAAATCGAGAAGTGTCGAACTTTATTGTTTATCATGCTTATTGCGCAATCAAAAACAGGCCACCGTGTCGCACCGTGGCTCACGTGGCAAAAGCTTGCCCTGTGATTGGTTTGCTACACTTGCACCGTGTCGGAACGTTACTATATTTAGTAACAATTGCGCAATAATCTGCACGCTGACCGTGTCAACTATAGTTGCTGTGATCGCAGCTTCGAATGCACGACTAGCTTCCGAACATACTCGGTACAATTCGGCAAGCTTTCGGCAAATTTTATAGTTCAGTGTTAACTGAACAATCATAATATGAAACAAGGAATAATAATTGGGAATTTGTTCCCACTTTTAGCAGGAATTGGTGGTATAACAACGATTACGAAAGATATTACTCACATTATTTGTTTTAGACATATATTTCCTTAATTTTGGTGTGATTCAAAGAATTAATACGTACTTCTAAATAATGTGTGGTGAATATTAGATTGTAGATGGGAAAATCTGACCGTGGCAGGTTATAACAAAATCGATTTTATTTCACCATCTATATCTTTTGTTGTATTAAAATCAAATAGATAGCAAATACATGTTTAGTTTTGAAAAAAAATAGGTGGACAGAATAAAAGAGAGTAAGGCTCCATGATGGTGGCACACATTGTCTGATAACATAAAGCTTAGTTTGGAAGGGGAAAAAGAAGGTTTCAGACGTTTTCAAATTATTTTGTTTTGATGTCCTTTGATTATCAGCGTGTCTTTGTAAAATGATAACAACATTCGCTATTTCGTCGAACAATGAATGTTATATGATTTAGCTAACCTGGTTGTGTTTGAACGATACTATAAATCATTGATGTAGATTCAAATGAATGCATAACTGATTAGTACACCACGTAAGTAGTTAAACATCCAAACATACAAGAATATTATTAAATTCACTTAGTTTCACTGCATGATTGTTAATAAGTGAGAGAATTGACTGCTAGTCGGACATAATTGTCGGAGGATAATTATTGTTCCAGTAAGATTATACACTATGCCAAAGATTATTGATTCGTTATCAGGTTATATACACTGTGTCTGAAAACGTCTGAACCTTGCCTCTTAAAACTCAAACAAACCACAAAACAAAGCGACATTACATTTCGTCGACTTTTTATATCTTCAATGGAAGGTTACACTGAGTCTGAAAACGTCTGAACACTTGCCTCTTGAAACTCAAACAAACCACAAATTGGCACAAAACGCAGCAACATTTCGTCGCGACGTCGACTTTATATATATCCGAAACGTAAATAACGGGATTGTCTATGTACTCTCTTTGCTGTTGTGAACGCAATACAATGTAAATTTGATGCGCATTACAACGCCAAATGAGCAGATCAGAAACTAAAGCTGTAAATACAATAAAAACAAAACAAATATAAAAGAATAATCAATGAACACTACTGCGAATAATTTACCCGGATCGAGTTGACAGAATATTGACCCTCCCCAGTCTCTTTCGTAGATAAACAAACTCGGTGGACAGACATGCATCGTAATCAAGCCCGCGAAAGGGCTACCTACAAAAAGGCCTACCTAGAATCCAGCTCTACACTTACTAATTTCATTTCTCAATTCATTTCTTTCTAGATTCTATATTGGTTGGTTTGCGGGACTGATTACGTCTATTCTTCATGTCTCTTGCTAAAATATGTTCATTCTGGTAGATGCTGCGACCAATGTCCACCTGGAAAGTTCGTACAAAATCACTGCAATGAAACAACACAAACAGTTTGTGAAACTTGCATGGTAAGGCCTTGTTACCGGTAGAACAACATTTAAAAATAATTTGCAGCCGGGTTTGAGGTCGTAAGTCGTCGGAAAAATACGTAGTTCTTGTGATTCCAAAAATATATGATTTTAGAAAACATTTTCGAACGTAAAAAGAAATACCAAGGGCAGGCCTGAGAGAAATGAAATATCTGTCGAGTTTTGTTTGGTCGGACTTCGAACGCTGGCAGAGAGCAAGTAAACTTGTACAGAGCATGCATGCGTATTTTTTGAGATCAAGAAGAAGATCAAGAAGTTCTGTTTTCGCTAGCATGCAGGCGCGCAAAATTGACGCCATGAGAATAATTCAATTTTTTACTATAGCTCGCGCAATTACATGTCTCGAGGATGCCTCTAAACTGTAGTCCCCGACAAGTCACAGTCAATTGCAGTTTTCAAAATATATTTATTGAATGATCACAAATCACAGAGCACTAGAGCACGGCTATCAGTGCACAATTACATACACATCTCTCTCTCTCTCTTTCTCACACTGACTAATATATGGATCCCAAAGAGGCTATTACGTCACCTCTGTCAAAATCAACCTCCTGACTACGATTAACCTATAACTAGATACCAGTCTCAGTCTCCAACAAAACTTGATATAATGTTGTACATGCAATACTAAACAATTGAGTCCTTGTACTCGCAATCTCGCTGCAACTGCTGCGTCTTTCCATGTTTGAGGGGGGGGAGGTGGCAAAGGGGGTGCTGTAGGATTAGGTTTAATATAGGCCTCTAAAGCACCCCGTTCGCCTAATCCACGCACGATTTGGCAATAATCAAACTAATACATATAACACATGGTGATCGGATCTAGGCAAAAGCTCTTTAATATTTTAAAACGAGCCGGAAATCAACGAAGGTGAAAAAAAATTGATCGAGTAAGATTTTCTAAAACTCTAGGTGTTGTTATAGATGAACATCTTACTTGAGAAAGGCAAATCGAAAACATTCAAACAAAAATTTCAAAAGGCATTGGCACGTTGCGGAGAATGAGGAAATTTGTTCCAAAAACAACATTGACAAAAGTCTATAATGCCTTGTATGGGACAACTGCAGTGATGACTTAATTGACAAATTACAAAAATTGCAAAACAGAGCAGCACACGTAATTACTGATAAAATATACGAAACGAGATCCGGAGACATTTTGAAAAATCTTCACTGGCAATCCCCAAAAGAACACTTTAAATGAAAGAAACTAATTTTTACGCATAAGATTAAGAACAACAAAATGCCAATTACCACAACGAAGTGAACGAACATGTTTGATATTAAAACAAACTAAAGGTATAACCTCCGTAGCAACAACCGAGATTTCAGCTTTGATAAACCTAATACAAATTGCATGAAAAAAGCATAAGCTACACAGCTCTTTCGTCCTGGAATAATTTACCCCCAGAGGCCAAAGACGCAGGCATGAGTAGCAAAAAGTTTAGATCTATTCTCGATTACTATTCTCTAGAATGATACAATTTTCGTTGTCTACTATGATTATATCAAGGGGGATTGGTAATTTATTTGTATATTTTTCTTTAGTATATTTGAATTTAATACCCTGTAAACGAACGCATCTTGAAAATTAGGTGCGTAAGTGCCCTGAAGAGCCTTCGTTCTAAAATATCATTATAAATAATAGATAATAATAATAATTGAAACATGAACCAAAAACATGAAATATTCCGACTCATTGAACATTTCAGTTCGCATTATTCGGCCGATTACTCCGTATAGATTTTTTGAGTGCGCTCCAGCGATATATACGTGAACAAAGTTATTCTCGTAAAAATTATTAAAAGTTGAAAAATGGGCAATTAAGCCTATATCGTCCTGCAAAATTTAAACAGTAATACAAATGCCGTAGTTACCGTCAAAAATATCATGATATCTACTTTTTTCTTCGAGAAGATATTGATTCTGTTTTTTATGGTCATCTTTTAAATGCTATCCACTGAATCTAAGAAAATTAAATAGAATAAACTAGTCCATGCGGTTATCATTCTAACAATGCGCCTCTCTTTTTCACAGGTTGGCACATTCTCCTCAGACTGGAACTCCAGAGAAGAATGTTCCCCATGTAATGACCATAACTGCAAACCAACAATGGGACTGGTTCAAATCTGCAACTCAACAGTGAATAACCAATGCGGGTGCGTGAATTTGGACCAGTTCCATGACAGAGCAACAGACTCGTGCAGAGATTGCAAACGATGTCGTCCTGGGACATATCCTGAGAAGCCCTGCACAGACGAAACTATTTGTTCTCCATGTCAAAAGGTTAGTGTGAGATACATTGGGGTTATTTTTTCTTGTTTTGCAAGATTCGTTATTGTAGCTAATGATGAGGGAATGACTTTAATGTCCAGTTATTTTTCTTTGCTTGCAATCCTGTGTAGTATCATTTTATACGCATGGCGGAACGTTATTTTGCATTCCCTGAGAATGGGTGCACATACATGCACCATGTATAGTTGCTTATAGGATCTTGATTTTATTTAGTTAAAGTATAATCATATTAGTAATTTAGCTTGTAGGTACACCACGTAAGTATTTAATACTGCAAAGCTTTCGGTCCGTTAACCCGGGCCGTCATCAGTGCAATTACCTCGTTAGTCGTGATTTGTTAGCTCCCGCCATGAATTAAACGATTTCATTTACTAAATAATTATGAAAAAGAAATAATTCTGATTAATTCGCGTGTCTTAGACAAGTATTTAGCTAGCAGACATTGAAAAGAGCACGCCAAGTACTATTTAGCGGCTTACCCTCTTGGACGATAGTTTGATGTTTATAGATTTCAATAGATTTTCTCATTTTACGAAAGACGGTATACTTATCATTCGCTAAAATGGTTGCATCTTTCCATTTAATGCGATGATCATAAGTCCACGCATTGTGAGCTAGAGCAGACTTATCCAGTTTATCTTTCTCGCAGTTCGTCTTATGTTCTTTTAGACGTATTGAGACGTATTTTCTACCGGTCTCGATCTCCAATGTAAACCAAACCACATTCACATGGAATGCATTTAAATTAGTTATCGATTGTCACCATGCAAACATAGGCTACAAGAATATTATTGCAGAACTCTACAGTATATATGAGAGTATTTTCAAAAAGAACTTAAACGACTTGACCGGCTTTCACAACAACGTTCAAGATTAATCAACAACTTAACCTTCCTGAAGAGGTCGAGACGACGAAGTTGTTCCGAAAGGTTTGCGCATGGTTAATTGTTTCCATACTAAGCATGCAGGCAAAATCTTGAAGAAAGCCGAGTTTGTACTGTTACGAGAAAGAATTGCTTGGACGCGCAAACAACTAAGCAGAGTGGATGACAACATCGCTACTCTTACAGAAGAGCTTTGGCTATCATTTGAGGAATAACATTTTGCTGTTGCAAAAAGAATGATAGATTTTTCTTTTACGCGTATCTTTAATAAAGCACGCTCCGCACAGATAGCCAAATACACAAGATTGACGTCCAAAGGATCAAAAGATAAAAGAAGACAAAAAGATTTGGCTAATGGCACTCTAAGAAGCACTTTTGTTAACCAAAGTGCGCAAAAACTTACGCCGGTTGAAGACGTCTTGGCATTGGGTTTAAATTTCGCAGTTTTACCACACAAGATTCCTGAAGAAGAAACCGTTCAACATCTGGAACCAAAATTGAATCGTCTCAGGGAGGATATTTCATCCAATATTCGCGTTGAAATAACCGAGATTTTGCGACATAGCTACAACTTTACCCATGCAATCTAATCTTTCCAAGGAGCAGAAGGATACAGTGAGGAACCTAAGGGCAGATAAGTCTATACATATTTGAAAGGCTGATAAGGGAAACGCCACGGTTTTATTAAGTCGTTTAGAATATGAAAGTAAAGAGCTAAAACGAGATCCTACAGGCAATTTTGAACGTAAAGTATGTTCTAAACTATTTGAATTAGAAAATCAGGTATTTTGTCTCAAAAGCTTCATGATTACTTGAGACCTTCAAGTAGTGTGTGTCCTAAATTTTATGGTTTACCCAAAATACATAAATCAGGTGTACCTCTTAGGCCTATAGTTGCATCTCAAGGTTCACCGACTTACAATCTATAGCTAAATAGTTAGTTTATTTACTAATGTGCCGATAGATGAGGCGTGTAACATTGCGAAAGACAGGCTGCTTTCAGATGATACGCTGTCTAAAAGGTCTAGCCTTTCTCCCGAAAGTATATATAAACTATCGAAATTGTGCTTAAATGCAACTAGTTTTCAGTGGCGGGAAAAATCCTACGAGCAAACACATGGTGCCCGTATGGGTAGTCCTTTATCACCAGTTATGGCCAACTTATTCATGGAAGAATTTGAAAAGAAAGCTCTAGCTACAGCATGTTTAAAACCTGGTTTCTGGTTTAGATATGTAGATGACACATTAAGTGTCTGGTTGCATGGTTTAGAAAATTTGAATAAATTTTGAGATCATATTAATGCTATACATACAGAAAGATAACTCTATATCTTTCTTAGATATCAAATATGATATAAAAGAGGACAGGACTTTGGGTCATAAAGTTTATAGAAAACCAACACACACTGACATGTATCTGAATTATAATTCATTTCACCATCCTAGCATTAAAAGATCGGTAATGCGAAACATTAATCAACTGTGCTAAAACCATTTGTGATTCAAATATAGCATTGACTCAGAGTTACAGCATTTGAAAAATGTTCTACACATGAATGGTTTTCGTAAGAAATTCATAGATCATGGTATGAACAAACAGCAAAGACATAATTATAAACAAGACACTGAATATCTATCCTCTGTCTGTTTACCATATATATTGGTCCAGCTTCGTATAAAATCGTTCGGATTTTAAAAGAAGTTGGAATACAAGATATACTATTCAAGCAATAACAAATTATTTCGCGCTCTTTACACGCACAAGGATGGCGTCGATGAACTTCAGAAACCTGGTGTGTACCGCATTTCATGTGAATGTGGTTTGGTTTACATTGGAGAGACCGGTAGAAATCTCTCAATACGTCTAAAAGAACATAAGACGAACTGCGAGAAAGGTAAACTGGATAAGTCTGCTGTAGCTCACCATGCGTGGACCATCGCATTAAATGGAAAGATGCAAGCATTTTAGCGAATGATAAGTATACCGTCTCTCGTAATATGAGTGAATCTTTTGAAATCTATAAACATCAAACTATCGCCCAAAAGGGTAAGCCGCTAAATAGTACGTGGCGTGGTCTTTTCAATGTATGCTAGCTAAATACTTGTCAAAGATGCAAATTAATTAGAACTATTTCTTTTTCATAATTATTTGGTAAGTGAAAGTCGTTTAATTAATGGCGAGAGCTAACAAATCACGACTATAACGAGGTAATTGCACTGATGACGGCCCGGGTTAACGGACCGAAAGCTTTGCAGTATTAAGAAGCTACGTGGTGTACCTACAAGCTAAATTACTTATCGATTGTCACAATGCAACTATGCAAGAATATTATAATCATATTATTGCATGCATTTTAGCTTTTTTTCATTGTAGAAAATCATAAACGACCCAGTCTGAGCAATTCGTATGATATATACATACGTTTATGTTTTAAACGCTGGTTTAAAGGCAATTCCGGTTTAAAGGCGATTCTCCAGCGCGCTTTGTTTTTGAGGCCCGTCACGAGCGCATGGCCGCTTGGCGCGTGCGGGAGAAACGGACGGTAATGAAGGATCGCCTTAAGACTCACCGTAGATACGGTGGAAATGCGATCCTGATCAATTCTTCGTTCTCGTAGCCTTCCATATTATACACATTTAATTTCGATTTTTTACATGTTGCCATTGACTCGATTAAAATCGTTTTCTTGTCTAAGAATGGTGTTTCATCGCCTTTTGCATGGGTGAAACGATAAGCGATGATATTACTCCATTGAGTCAATGCAACAACTGTTGCTTCGCATGAAACCCCATGCACTTATCTTTTATTCTTTTTGCAGGGTTATTTCTCTAACAAAACGGACAATTGCTATGAGCAGTGCGTTAGGTGCAGAGATTGTGTACTGTATGAAAAGCAGTGCTCCTCAACAAATGATGCTGTCTGCTCTCGCGATTTTTTCCCCACGACCCCACAACGACAAACCTTTGAGGAAAGCACACCTAATTTGAAAACAGAAGGTAGCTATTTTAATTTTACAATACTTAAAGATAAATGTATTTTAAAACGAATTAAGAATTGTGTTAATAGGGATACATTGATCTCTATTTATATTCCTTTGATTATTATTATACTGCAGTGAGGTATGGGATACACTAGGTTCGGGTCTATCTCAAAGGCTTCAAAGACTTCAGAATAGAGCAGCGAGAGTACAAACGAACATGACGAATGACACTCTTGCTTCTCAAACATTAAACGAATTGGACTTGGACCCAACGTACTAAGTCAAAAGCGATAACAATGTTTAAAGTTTTACATGATTCAGCTCCAAGCCCCCTGACTGAATTATTTGCCCCTAAACACAATGTTATGGATTATACTTGAGGGGCTCCTCAACCTCATTACAGTTACCAAAACCTAGAACAGAAAAATTAAAAAAAAGGTTTTAGTTATGATAGGGCTAAACTATGGAATTCTTTGCCGTTAGATTTACGCGATTTAAATAATTTGGCTTTGCATAATTGTTTAAAAAGGAATCAGCGAATGCAACCTCTGATTGTCTCTATTTACTCTAGTCGTTAATTATAATGCATTTAGTTATGTAATTATATCTTACACTCTTCTCTTTTAATTGTATTGTTGTCAATTAATGTTTGATTAGAGCAAAATTTAATTTTAAATGCGCGAAAGAATTAAAAGTTCAATATAAGCCTTTCGCTTCGTCAGCGTCGAAAAAATCCTGCGCAAAATTGTTTTGACGAATATTTTTGAAGTACATATCATTTGCTACATTCGATTTTATCTAACGTTCGAACGATAGAACGTTCGGAAGAGTATTTCTTAATCGCAAGTCATAGAACACAAGCGCACGGCTATCAGTGCACCGACTAATATATGCATCATAACGAGGCTATTACGTCACCTCTGTCAAAATAAACTTCCTGACTACGAATCATGCGCAAAATTGTTTCGACGAATCGTAGTACATATCATTTGGCACATTCGATTTTATCTAACGTTAGAACGATAGATAGAACGTTCGGAAGAGTATCCTTAATCAGCGCTGTGGCCTTCTAATATCTTCAGGATGTTAGCATCACGTGTATGATACAGGAACGAAATGAAATCACAGGTGCAATTGACTGTCTACGTTTGGAAATTTTCCTCTACTACACTCCTCGTGCACTTTTGTAAAATTTGTGACTTCTTGAACTTTGTTCATGAATTCGTCAGTTTAAATCTATATTATGCATTTTTGTCAGCGTATCTAAGTTAGAGATTTACTGAAATCGCCTCTCGTATATTAACCAATTTATCCGTCTTTTTAGAAAAACATATTCATGAGGATTCCACGAAACCAAGTAAATTTGAGCCCATATTAATCGTAATAATTGTGACGCTGATAGCACTGACTCTTATTGTCTGCCTAATTCTACTCTACTGCAAAAGGAAGCAAGAAACATGCCCATATCGAGCAGGTTATGGATTTAATATCATCACAGAATCTCGAGGCAGAACTACTTCGTTTGGAGGTTTGGAATTTTTTTGTGATATATCACATGCAAAGCGTAATTTTAGAATAAAAGATCACAATTAGGGTATATAGAATTATAAAGAAATAAGAAATTCTGGTGATAAAGAAGACTGGTGATTCATTATCTATTCGGGGCAGTTTTTTGGTCGTTTAAGTGTACATATAGGTTACCTTTTTAATGAAATCATGCAATTTACTTGCGGTATACGGAGATGTTTCAAGATGCCAATAAAAACAGTACTGTCTAAAAATAACCTAATAAAAACCGTGGTTAACCAAGGTGAAACCTCGGTCTGATTGCGGTTGAACCGACGGTCGAACCACGTGAGACGGTTTAACTCGGTCTGACAGAAATTTCTATATTGTTTTCGATATGATTATTGTGTTGTCGTTCTCAGCTGTTCATAACATTCCGTTCGGAACCGAAGGAATAACCGTTCGGAAGCGAAGGGCACCGCAATCGTTTTTTTTCCTTACGGTAGTTTGCGGTTTTTATCGGTCTTCCGCAATCTAACCGCAGCAGAACCGCAACCGTAGTGTTAGGTTATTTCTGGACAGTACTGTATGTGTGTTTCCTTTGTGGCTTTTAAGGTTGCTAACATGAAAAACAAAATGTTTCCATCCATGCATGCAATATCTTTTGACCTGAATTTTGTTTGGGGAAACTATAATGCATGAAATGAAGTGTATTACTGCCATTGTTTTTGTTTAAAAGCTGCAAGGCTTTGTATCGCCAGCCTATTTTAACGTCGTATTATATTTTTCCTGTTTCAAGGTTTGTTACTTCGCGAACAGCCTGCAAGAATTATATTGGGTCTTCACGCACTGTTAAACCCAAAGACGCAAAATAACTGGAGAGCTGTTGCAGCTGAACTTGGTGTATCCTACCTCAGTATTCTTAATTTTGAAGCTAACATTGAAACTTCGTGTAAAGAAATGCTTCACTCTTGGGGTACATCAAACGACGCCACTGTCGATAAACTGTACGAGGCTCTGAGAAAGAACGGAAGGGATGATGCCTGCAGATTTCTAGAGGAAAACGTGGAATTTGAAAGCGAAGAAACTACAGTCTAATGGTGAGAGTTACAGAGAGTTTAGACATATTTTCCGTTTAATATGGTATATTATTGTTGGTAAAGAAAATTTCTGAGTTATGAATATTTTATATTGAGTTGAAAAACATATTTGGGGCTGGTATTTGGTTCAAAAGGTGCACAGGGTGGACAGGGTTGGGTGCACAGCTTTTATTAATGATACCTGAATTTTTGATACATCAGGTAATATTTTATTTCTTAGCAATGCTTTGCATTTAAGGTGGCTCCCTAAAATTTTTAAAAATTTTGAAAACTTATTGTTTTGATTTGAAATTTTAGCACGAGATTTCTTGCTAAGGAAAAGAAATTTCCCAGATATATTAACCAACATTCTAACAGTCAGAAATTGACCATAAGCATGACGTCATTATTGTTGTTATGGTAACAATGGCGATTCAATATGGCCGACATTTTACCTATTAACGCATTTTACTCGAAAACAAGTTCGGTTACCCCAATTTTTTATTTTATAAAAAGTTTTCTTACAAAAAAATGGAAAATTTGAACGAGTTAAAAAAAATTCTATAGAGCCAAAAAATTTCTATAACGAAAAATTACGTTTTTTAATTTTTAATAATTTTGGCTCTATAGAATTTTTTTTAATTCGTTCAAATTTTCCATTTTTTTGTAAGAAAACTTTTTATAAAATAAAAAATTGGGGTAACCGAACTTGTTTTCGAGTAAAATGCGTGATAAGGTAAAATGTCGGCCATATTGAATCGCCATTGTTACCATAACAACAGTAATGACGTCATGCTTATGGGGAATTTCTGACTGTTAGAATGTTGGTTAATATATCTGGAAAGTTTTATTTCGTTTAGCAAGAAATTTCCTGCCAAAAATTTCAATTTAAATCAATAGTTTTCAATATTCTCAAAACTGTAGGGAGCCACCTTAAGTAGCTACGTTATTTAGCATTGATGTTTAAAACATTTCATTTCATTATCATGAAAACATGCAAACAGTACGTTTGATTCAAGCATTCTATTCCATGCAACGCATTTATATTATTATATATCACTTGTCAAAGTTTGGTGTTCGTAGCGTTTCATTGGTCGAGAGCGAATCACGCGGAGTGACGAAATTTTGATGTCGCCAGCACGACCCCCTGCAGAGTGAGATAACGTGTTATCTCATGGGAAATAACAACTTTTATCCATTTGAAATTATGAATAGATATTTCGTTGTTTACGTTGTAGTTTGGTCTTTCTTTGACAAGTGTAATGTAAACTGAGAACTCAGAAAACGTTATGTTTTGTGGACCCTCGACCATCGATATTACACTCGGCTTCGTCTCGTGAAATATCGACAGGTCTCGGGTCCACAAAACATAACGTTTCCTTCGTTCGTAGTAAATAAGTGTTAATTATACATACCATGATTTTTTTTGTTAAATGACGCGAGATTAGTTTTGGATCAAAATAAATCAAATAATTATAATACTTTTTCCATGAAAATAAGTCCAAAATTCATAAAAAATACCGCTTAATTTCCTATATACAGCCAAAATATACTTATCATAAACTGTTATTGTGGGAACAAAAAATCCTAAAAATCGTTAATTTTTTTTGTTATACTTCGTCTTTTGAAGTGATATGTAACTGTTTCAGAAAATATAAGCTATCTTGGGATTCCTAATTTTTGTATTATTCAGGAGGATGTTTTCAGTAATGAATCGAAATATATTTTTAACTTATATAAAGTTCGATCCGAAGTCGCTCGGCTTAATTCTGTGGATTAAGTGAAATACCATGCACGACCATGTCAATTACATGCAAATCTTTACCGCCACTGATCTGAAAATAAGGACAGGATAGTGCATAAAATAGGACTAAATAAATTGAGCCAATTGGTGACCAAAATTATGTGATAAAGCACACTGTTTCGGTATGTTTAAAGAGCTTCTTAATTTTGCATGCGATTATTACTGGAAGGGAAAAATATCAGTTTCCTTTTGTACGTATGTGAGTATAGCTTCATAGCCTAGTCTAATTTTAAAAACAACTTTTTTTCTGTAAGAACGACCTTTTAATAATTCTGCGAAATTTATTAGGGTCTGTCCTTATTTTGAGGTCATTCATCTTACATACAAAATTAGAAGGTAAAATCTATTTTTGGGTATCTCAGACCAAAGGATATTTTTATAAAGTTGCGGAACAATATAGATATACAAGGTTGACCTGTGGTCGAAAAACCTAGTTTTCGTTTGCTCATGTTTATCATTAAGTCATGTTTTGAAATAGCTATAAGATTTATTTTTTAGCAGTATATTAATATATGTATTAAAAATTTAAAATATTTTAATTAAAGCCAGTCTATACGAATCATTCGAAAAACCTTAAAGAGGGTATAGTTTTTTATCATTTCGGTTTAATTAGAACAATTTTGTCAAAATAGTTGCAAAAATTTTCACTGCGGGAAACTGTAGAATATAAATTGGTCTTGATTATTTAATATGCTTTTGAATTTATCTTCAAAACCAAGTTGTATGATTATACTTTGATTTTAGCGCCTGTAATTAATTAATTACGTCAAAATTATTTATTGATGCTTGTGAATTAAAATAAAGGAACATTTTGATTAGAAAATGTGTAAGAAATATGCTAATAAAATATTCGACTTAACATGAAAGTCTTTGAATTCAATATATTGACACACACGATATATCAACATCTGGTATATTGTGTGGTCATGGTTTTGCCGGCACGTTATGATGCAAGCTGCGATCCAATACCTTTGCCAGGTTGATGGCCACGGCTGTTTTAGCCTAAAACATGCAGTTGAGATAATCTGTTCTGAACGAAATGGATGTAAACTCCTTTACAATTCTTACACTATTCGTGATGCCAGCGTTGGTTCATTTTATGATACATTCAGTTGATACATTATGTATGCGGTACATTATTTTGTTGTGGTATCAGCAAGGGAAGATGATCCTAATAACAGCATAATGATTCCGACGAGGGCATGCTTAGTATCTCAAACTTGGGATTTGTTGTAATCATCATGTCTTTATTGGATTTACCATTTCCGTGTACCAGTTCCCGAGCATTAACTAATGTGCGCACCTGCGCAACGACAAAGAAACTCTATTCCAACAGATCAGTCCAGTTTCTGAATTCTGGATTTATGGTTATTGGTGTTGTCAATGATTATATAATAAGTTGACGGCGATTATCCTTCATTTTGTCCTACTGATTTTCATTTTGTGGAATATGGTTTGTTGTACATTAATAACGCATTTGGGAAGTGACAAATAATTTCACCTTTCTGAAATATTCTACAGTGAATTCAGTTGGCGAATTTCTAAGTCTGCGGGCATCGGATTACTGAAGATAATTTTATTAGTAAAAGGCAACTTTTTGAGAACATTTCGTAAATATTGCCAAAAAAAAAATCCTAAAATGTATCACGAAAAACAATCATCTTCACCCTGGTGAAACTTGCTTTAGAATATATGTACATGTTAACAAAAGAACGTTTAAGCGATTAAAAACCTCCCTGTTGAAAGAGAAATCTCTGTTGCACAGGACCAGGTTTACGTTCTCTATTTTTATTTGTGATCAATATTAAGTAAATTTAATTAAAATAACTAAATTTAGTTTAATTAACATAGGTGGAACACGATTAATTTCGAGCCAGGCATTCATGCATTTGTGTATTCATGACAAGGCCGTCAATCCTGGGAGGATGGGAGGCTGCTGGTGGTGCGTCATCCCAGTTTTTTTGGGTGGGGGCCGGGACAAATATCTAATTATTCCCGCATATTTAATGTTAACATAATAGTAAAATACTTAATAGTAAAATATTTAAACTACACAATCTATTTTCGCAGTGCATTACTGGATTGGCTGCTCGACCCGATCGTTGGCCACTTGCAATGGTATACATATTTGCTCTCTTATGACTGAATATAATACACACCGCATTAATTCAGTTAATATAACATTAATCATTTTGAAAGTCCTCCCTCCTCCAAATTTTAAAATGGAATGCACCCTTGACTGGAGGAACTTAAAAAGACAAATAGACTAACAGAAGGTAAAGAAAAATACTGGCTTGCAGCAAAGGCTAAAGCTTCAGTAAAATTTTTACGATTTTCTCAAGCTAGTAATAAACAAATAACCATGAGATGTTGCACGCCATCGCATAATATTACGTATGCTAATCCTACGATATTTTTATGATTTAGAATTCATTACATCAACAATGAAAACAACTAACATTGGTTCATTAGAAGAATTTATAATTCATTTGTCTGACTTGCTTGCTTCATCGTGAGAGAAACCTTTCCACTTTTCAGCCAAATCTGAAAATAAAAGTACAGTTATACATGGTGGGAAACTTTTTGGCTTGAACTTTGAGAGTGATGTGTTTTCCCTCGTGAAATAGACATATTCATGCATTCATTCATGATTGTGGGCATTGTTGAAAACGTTGCTCAGCTGTAAATAATACTCTGAGCATGCGCATTGGCTTCAATTTTGTAGACAATAATGGCGAAGAAAGGATATTTCATACATAACTGGTCAATCATGTTTTACACGTCTGAAAACTCAGAATGGAGCAATGGTGTGCTGTCATTATTGTTCACACTTTTGTATTGATAACAACTCTGAACAGTGTGGGCAGCACAACATTTTTCCATGCAGTGGCGTACGGGAGACGATAAATGGGCACATATTTATATATTCATGTTGTGCCAGATTAATTTCTTTTCAAATCCATTGTTTTTACAGGTCTGTTAACATGAATACGCCACTGGTTCCATCCTGTTCATATCAATATTGCATCAACCTGATCGTTTCTAGGCGTGTATTATTTGCGTGCATATATGATTACGTGCCCTACTTCGTGTAATGCAAATTATAACGAATCAATATGCTGAATGACTTAATGCTGTGACAAAACACATTTTCGGGTACCTTACCTATGGTTTAAAGTTATAAATCTATCAAAATCCATGTATATTTGCAAAGTTTTTTTAACATCCTTAAACTTTTGATACATTCAAAATCCGCAACCATGCTATAGCAACTTTAATAAGAACATAACTTACTTTCTACATGTCTGGCGTTTTCTCTCATTAGGAAGTCAGTTCTTCCTTGCTCCAATTCAACTTTATCATACAACGACAACGTGTATTCATAAAAACGTTTCTGAACCCTCGCTAACGATATAATAATACACGGTGTGATAATCAAGGTGAAACACAGAAGCAGCGAACGAATCACTAGTTGATATGTGCTTTCATACATTTTCTCTTGCACCTTCGCTTCAATGAAGTCAGCCTGTCGCAGTTGTAATTTCAATATCAAGTCACCATACCTCGTCATCAAGTCAAACCATTCGTAAGCTTCCAGATCAGAAGAGTTATATGTGCTCGATAAAATCTTTCTTTTCTTTGCAATCTTTTCCATCCAGTGCGAAGTGTTGGCAAATAACGAAAAATATGTGTTTCTCAACTCGCTGGAAAACAGAAATCCAGCTTCAAGATATTTTTCAGCCAGAACACGTTTTTCTGTATACAATGTTGTGTTGATACATGTATAATCGCTTCCTTGAATGAAATTTAAACCACCAACAGCTCGTTCCATTCCTGCCTCTTCCTTGCTAAGAATCACCATCTCGTATGCGTAAACCAAGTTTGCATAATCCTCCAAGTTTCTGGATTTTGTATATTCAGTTAGTGTTGAAATGAGCTTTGTTATCCATCTTCGGTATGTTAGTAATTGGTCGAAAGCACTTGTTTGACCGTTATCAATTTTACGTCGGAATTCTTCCAAAACGTTTGGAAATGGTATTTTCCCTTCGGCCAGCGTACTGTACTCATCGTCATCCCTTTTCTCTAGTATAGCAATGCTTTCATTCGTTTTGAGTCTAATTTCGCGCAATTTTATTCGTTTGTCTTTAAAATTCAATTGCCTGAAACCCAACTGTAAAGCTGTCATTCCTCTTTCCTTTTGCAAGTTGTGGATAACCAATGCTGTATCAATACTCCCTTGGATTTTATGAGTCAGCTCTTGTTTCTTTTGAAAGGATTTGCCGGTCTGGATGACATCAATGATGATTAGTACGACGGTTCCTATGGAAACGAAAGCGATGATGGCTAACTTCGCCAACTGTAATCGTCGATCCTGCTTCTTTATGACAGCTTTCGGGTGTTCTGCATCACTGCTGCCTTGAAAACCAGGTGAAACATCCATATTACTTTCACTTCGGTGTAGGTTACAGTGAATTTCTCAATAAATCTGAAAAGAAAAGAGAAGAGACAGCATTGCTAACAAAAAATTTTTAAACTAAGTTTAAAGCGTGAATTTAGTTCAAAAGATAATTTCACTATATTTGAAAAAAACTGAGAAGTTGCCGGAAAACAACTGCATTTAACAATAACCTATCACTGTTGGAAATATGTAGCTATATACGTCGATGTAGAGAAACCCCAAGCTCTTACATTGTGACATAACTTTTACGCAAAAAAGTTTGTAAAGTTGGGTGCAAAGTCGTTTAAAATTTCACTTATTGGTGCAGACGATTACTAGGTAGTCTTGCTGAGACTTTAGAGTTTGCATCCTAAACGAGCACCTACAACCGAGTCAAATGTGATGACTCCATCAGATTCACCAATCATGAACGCAAAAGGTCAACCAAAAGTAGCGGTGGTATAGTAGTACAAGTAGCGCTGGAATTCAAATCTGAACCTTGCTATTGCCATAGCCCATAACTTTGTTGGGATAATATCAACAAATTATTGCAATAACGGTAGAAATGATCAGAAATTTACAAGCAGACACGTTCCCAGCAAGCGTGATGGCGTGTAGATGACGTTTACACTTTGGGAAAATTTGTTCGGAAAGTTGCACTTCTCGTGTTACTCGTAATATGTGATGCAATTTGTCTTTAATAGGTTACCTGCATATAGCGTAGCAACCATACGCTCTATCGCTAGTAGAAAAGCGAGGATACTAACAATAGTACTGTGACAATGCAACTTTAACTTAATGGTCTCACTTATTCATGCATGCAGAATGACAATTAGAATTGTAAATAGGATATATAAAATTAGGTGTGTGTAAAAAAAGTGTGTTAATGCTGATTACAAGTTAAGCTGAGAACGGTGTTTTAAAAAGATAAGTTGGCTTGCGCGCTACAATTTGGTAGCAGGAAATGGTTATTTAAGTGTTACTTTGAAGACTAAATCAGGAATGGAGACGCGAAGCCAACGCAGGGAAAGAATCGAAGTTCCTACGGAAAGCGAGAATATCAGCGAACGCTTGGTTGATCGTGAAACAAGCTCACGACCTATCGAATACATTGACGAGCAAATTCACTTCGTTGAGAGTTTACAAGCAGTGAAAAACGGCCTAAACGATATAAAGCAAAGTGAGACCAATCTTAAAGAAAAATACGAGCGAATTTGTGGCGAAAATCAACAGCTAGTTGAACGAATAAAACTGTTAGAAGCCCGTGAGACAGAAAACCGGCTAAGTCAACTCGACTTGGAGACCAATTACCATGTTCTCGAAGAGAAAATTGGCAAATTAACGGAGGACTTGCAAAGAACCAGAACGGGGTGTTATCAAGAGATAGGGCGTCGAGTAGAAACGTCTAACGAGGAAGTTCAAAGCCTTCGTGTTAGCTTTGCTGAGAGTTTTGAACAGTTGCTTGACGTTGTTGAGAAGCTCGATAAAAGAGTGCAATCAAGCGAAACTAGTTTGCAATGCAAAATCGATGAAATGAGTGAAATTCGTTTATCGCAGACCCCAATCAACGCAAAGAAAGTCCCAAAGGTTCCCAAAGCCCAGTCTACAGAAATGAAATCTGAGAAGCCATATATGTTCCGTACACAACTACCACCCAGCGCTGCTGTTGACTCTTGTTTGGACAAACGGACGACCGCATCGAGTGATTCAAAGCAGAGAAAACAGAAACCCATTCAAACGGCACCGAAGTTCGATGGGGACTCGTCATGGGAAGTATTTCAAGCCCAGTTCGACATAGCGGCAGAAATTAATGGGTGGAATGAAGATGACAAAGCAGTTTTCCTGGCCACGGCTCTAGTTGGAAAAGCTGCTTTGGTGCTGAGCAATTTATCTGATCGCGAACGACGGGATTACAGAACGTTGGTCAGTACTTTAACAACCTGCTTTGGGATGGCCCACCAATCGGAGTTGGCGCGAGCCAAATTAAAATGTCGGGGAAAGAACAGGGAAGAGTCTATGGCTGAATTGGCGGAAAGCGTGGAGACTTTAACAAGAACTGCATATCCTGACGCTTCGACAGACCTGCAAGACGTCATTGCCAGAGATAACTTTATCGATGCGTTGCCCGACGATGATATGCGATTAAGAATTCGCCAGCTACGACCATCATCGTTACAAGTAGCTCTTCAAAACGCCATGGAGTTAGAGTCCTTTCACCAAGCTTCACGACACCGTCAAAGATGGCAGCGTAGTGGCTCTTCGTGGAATGTGCGCCAAGTTGAGGAGACTTCCCGTATTGCGCCTAAGACGAGTGAAGAAACATCCAGCATCGAGCGACTTGAGAAATTAGTGGATCAGTTGCTGAAAGAGATGAAAAACCAGAATCGTCGTCAATCGCCTCCACGAACGTCTGGGCGCCCGCGCCCGATGAGATGTTGGAACTGTGGTCAGCTGGGTCATTTACAGAATGATTGTCTCGTGAAACAGGAAGAAATCAAAAAGGAATTCAAGAAGGAAACTGAGGTGGGCAGAGAAGGAGCAGAAACCAGTCAAGGTGACCGAAACATTAAGCATCAGGGAAACGACAGGTGGTCGTCCGAGAGGGGCATGGGCCGACCGAGAAAGTTTTAGAAGAAGCCCCCAGTGAAAACGTCGAAGTAAAGGTGTGTGGTGGTTCACTCATTGTAGACGGCGTTATTCAAAACGTTCCTTGCAAGTTTACAATAGACACTGGTGCAGATGTAACTATTTTGTGTTCGCGCTTGTATGATGTGGTGCAGCGTGGTAAACTGGAAGACGTAGCTGATGGTGAAACACTTAAAGGTCTAGATGGACAGAAAATTTCCGTGGTTGGAAAAACAACTGTACAGATAGGATTGGGTGAAGAAACTTCGTCACAGACGGTATGGATTGCACACATACAAGAAGACTGTATACTGGGCGCGGATTTCCTGAAAAGAAACGGTTGTGTAATCGATTACCCTAACCAAGTGCTTCACATTGGAAAAACCGAGATTCCTATGCATTCAGCAGGAGAACAGATGAAATGTTTCCGATTAATCTTGGACCGAACAGTTAAAGTTCCAGGACACACTGAGATGGTTATTCCAGTTAAAGTAGACATTCCTAGTTCGTGTTCGTGTTGGGGAACAGTAGGACCACCTAGCTTTGGTAATCGAAATAGCGGGATCATGATTGGACGAACTCTAGTTGATTTAGAAAGAGAATATATCCCTGTTCGCGTGGCGAATCTCACTCCTGGAAGACAAAAGTTGAGAAAGGGACTAGAACTTGCAGTTTGTGAACCGGTTTCTAGTGTAACCCTACGACCTCGCGCAGATAAAGACAGTGAACAATCGTCAGATGTGCTTCTACAAGCACATTTGAAACCTTTGCTCGAGAAAACTTCAAAGGAACTAAGCGAAGAACAATTAAATAAAGTTTCACAAGTTCTTATCAACTATCAGGATGTATTTTCGAAGGGAGCAGACGACATTGGTCGTGCAAAGAACGTCCAGCACGAAATAGACACCGGCGACGCAGTTCCAATTAAACAGGTGCCTAGAAGAATCCCCATTGCCAAAAGAGAAGAAGCGGAGCAGGCTGTGGACGATATGCAGCGACATGGTATAATTGAACCATCGACAGGTCCGTGGAGTTCGCCTGTAGTCTTGGTGCGAAAAAAAGACGGAAGTACCCGGTTTTGCGTCGATTATCGCCGACTTAATGACGTCACGCGCAAAGATTCCTTTCCACTCCCTCGGGTTGACACTATATTAGACACTTTGAATGGTTCCCGTTGGTTCTCTACGTTGGACTTGAAAAGCGGGTACTGGCAAGTAGAACTCGATCCTGCTTCAAAGGCAAAGACAGCGTTTTCATTTGGGAAAGGTCTCTGGCAATTCACCGTGATGCCTTTCGGACTATGCAACGCCCCGGCGACATTTGAACGATTGATGGAAACAGCCCTTGCAAAGTTGCCATGGGAAACGTGTCTGGTGTATTTGGATGATATAATCGTACTTGGAAGAGATTTCGATGATCAACTAGCCAATTTACAACTGGTGTTACAGAGATTACGCAGCGCTAATCTCAAGTTGAACCCTAAAAGTGCGTCCTGTTTCAAACTCAAGTTACGTATCTGGGATATGTGGTGTCGGGAGACGGAATAAAGACGGATCCGGAGAAGGTAAACGTGATTAAATCTTGGCCTTGCCCAACCAATGTCAACGAACTTCGTAGTTTTCTCGGACTTTGTTCATACTACAGACGTTTCGTACCGGATTTCGCAAAGATTGCAAAACCATTGCATTCATTGACGCAGAAGAATGTGACCTTTTGCTGGGACGAGGAATGTGCAAGGGCCTTCGAATACCTCAAGGAACATTTAACTCGATCTCCAACCCTCATCTATCCCGATGTGAGCAAACCTTTCATTATTGATGCGGATGCCAGTGAAGTTTCGATCGGAGCAGTATTATCACAAATCGTGGCAGGAGTGGAACATCCAGTAGCTTACTTCAGCAGAACATTAAGTCGACCAGAAAGGCAATATTGCGTGACTAGGAGGGAACTGTTAGCCGTGGTTCAAGCTGTCGAACATTTCCACGCCTACCTTTATGGAAGCCGATTTCTTGTTCGTACAGACCATTCTTCTCTTCAATGGCTGCTGAATTTTAAGAATCCGGAAGGACAGATGGCCAGATGGGTGCAAAAACTCGGCCAATATAACTTTGAAATGAAATATCGAAAAGGGAACATGCATAATAATGCTGACGCGCTATCGAGAAGACCGTGTGGTAAAACCTGATGCCGGTATTGTGAACGAAGGGAAATACGCGAGTCAAATACCAAAGAAGATTCCGCGTGTAGTAGCTGTGAACAGGAAATTAATAGGATACGAACTGTGTCTACAGATTCGCCAGACCAACCTGTCGAACTTCCTTTCGCGAGAGAAGCTCAATTGGAAGATCCTGATATACGGATTATAGTTACATGGATGGAGGAAACTAATGCTAAACCCTCATGGGAAGACGTGTCGTCGTATAGTCCAGCAGTGAAGGTATACTGGGGACAATGGGAGTCTCTAGAACTGATTCAAGGAAGGCTATATCGTATCCTGGAAACAGGGTCTCCAAACAGTCCGTTAAGACAACTGATTGTACCGAAAAACCTTCGAAACAGTACATTAGAGCAACTCCATGACAGTAAAAGTGGAGGACATTTCGGAATTGCTAAAACGCTTGGAAAAATTAGAGAAAGATTCTTCTGGCCGGGTTGCAGAAGAGATGTTGAGGATTGGTGCCGAAGATGCGAAAGGTGTGCTTCGAGAAAAGGCCCCACAAGAAAACCCAAAGGACCTATGAAACAGTTTAATGTGGGGGCCCCGATGGAGAGAGTGGCTGTTGACGTACTTGGACCTTTACCAACTTCGACAAGAGGGAACAAGTACCTTCTGATTATAGGTGATTATTTCTCGAAGTGGGTGGAGGCGTATCCCTTAGAGAACCAACAAGCCGTCGTAGTAGCTGAAGTGCTCGTGAACGAATTTATTTCAAGGTTTGGTGTTCCACTTCAACTCCATTCAGATCAGGGTCGAAATTTTGAGTCCGCCGTATTCTCGGAAGTATGCAAGTTGCTGGGGATTGAGAAGACAAGAACAACAGCTCTTCACCCACAATCGGATGGTATGGTGGAGAGATTCAACAGAACATTAGAGAACCAGTTAGCAATCTTTGTGGAGCGGCACCAGAGGGACTGGGATGACCATATACCGTTGCTATTGATGTCTTATCGTTCCGCTGTCCACGAGAGTACAAGACAGACACCAGCCAATTTAATGTTTGGACGTGAGCTAAATCTACCTATTGATCTATTATTTGGCAGACCGCCCGACACTCAACCAACAGATATTGATGAATATGTGGCAAACCTACAAAGGAGAATGGAAAATACGCACGAATTTGCTCGAATGAGAATCCGAGTCGCAAGTGATAGAATGAAAAAAAGATGTTGGTGCATCCAATGAGATCTTTGAATCTGGTGATTAAGTTTGGCTATTTAATCCAAAACGCAAGAAGGGAATATCACCGAAACTAGCATGTGATTGGGACGGACCTTATTTGGTTTTGAAGCGAATAAATGAATTGCTCTATAGAGTGCGAAAATCGGTTCGGGAAAAACCGCGTGTGGTTCACAGAAACAGACTTTGGCGTTATCTGAAGTGACTAAACTGAATACTAAATGAGACTGACCACCTATTCGGGACGAATAGTTGTAAGAGGGGAGGCAGTGTGACAATGCAACTTTAACTTAATGGTCTCGCTTATTCATGCATGCAGAATGACAATTAGAATTGTAAATAGGATATATAAAATTAGGTGTGTGTAAAAAAAGTGTGTTAATGCTGATTACAAGTTAAGCTGAGAACGGTGTTTTAAAAAGATAAGTTGGCTTGCGCGCTACAGTACGTCAAACCGGAGTGAGAGAAAGCGCTGGATATTCCCAAAGTTGCGTTCCTTGAAAATTGGTCCCTAACCACCGACCGTATTCCGTGCAAAGTATAAGTAGACAGCCATTTTACCTTAAGCACTCCGGCAATAGAACGTTTCGGCTTGCATGCAAATTAACCACGAGCTATATTGAAATTCCTGGAGGACTTGCTCGTTATTTTTCGGTATTTCGCCGCCATGCTTTTGAAGCCACAAATATGGTGGATTTCGCCTTTTGGCCATGTATTTATCACTGACCATGCAGACTCAATTCTGAGCTCGCTACAGCAGCATTCTCCCCCCCTGGATTTTATAAACAACTGCTCCCCCTTGTTTTTATATTTTTTTCGCAGTGAAATCTTGTTGTTGTTTTCCATGACATATTTTTCGCCCTGACCTGCAATAAAGTGTTTTTTGAGATATTCATAAGTCGTAGACGCTGTTTTTGCCAATGCGAGAACAAATACAAATTAAAACGTCAAAGAAATGTTGGCAAAACTACAGATTTTAATACTGACACTATTACTGACCGGTTTATTTTTTATTTTCTTAATGATATTTTCATTATTTATACATTCCTACTATATGAGATTTAACAAATGCTTGAACTTTTTTGTCACTATTGTGAGGATATTTTGAGGACAACTGGATGTTTATGGATATCAATTAGGCTTTTCTGAACCCTGAAGTGAAGACGTGAAATATTACTGAAATTAGCAATTATTAATGATGTTCTCTTGAATGTCTTCAGGACTTTATATCTATGCATAATCCAAAGGAAAAGAGGCCAAAGTTCAGGCAAGATGCTGGGCAACTGACGAATGGACGACTTGCGCTTTAGACTAATTTCTTACCTCGGCAATAAAAAGGACATTTTATGAAAGAGCTTACTAAAATTAGTGAAACTGCCAAGTTTGGCTGTGAGTTGTTGTAATTTACGGAAAATATAGACATGCGAAGTTGACGAATTTTGTATACTTTTGTATTACGGCCGGAAGTTTGTAACTAATTTAGTTACACATTTAAGTAAGCACGAAGAACACTTTTATCCTTTTTAGATGAAATACAAAAAAATATATACCGAAAGCCGAAAATATTTTCATAAAAATCGGGAGGGTGACGACGCAGTTTTTGCACTTTCGATATCGCGATATG